AAAGAAAGAAAGAAAGAAAGAAAGAAAGAAAGAAAGAAAGAAAGAAAGAAAGAAAGAAAGAAAGAAAGAAAGAAAGAAAGAAAGAAAGAAAGAAAAGAAAAGAAAAGAAAAGAAAAAGATAAGCAGGCCAGCTGCCAGTGCTTGATCCCTGTCATCCTAGATAATCAGTAGGCTGAGATTTTGAGGACTGAAGGCCAAAGTGAACCTGGCACAAGTATTATTTGGGGTATTCCAACTTCAAAATAATTAGCAAAAATAGGACTGGTGGATGCCCCCAAATAACAACACACAAGCCAAAAATCTGAACAAATGCATAGTGCTGAGTTTGAACTCCAGTATTCACAACAACAACAATAAAATGCTTCCTGAATAGGAGTGGTCTTGATCCAATTATTTTACCTATGTAGAGTCACATGTAAAGTTAAAACTCAAGCAGAAAATACCCTCTAATGTTAAAAGTCTAGAATAACCACTGTTGCTTGTAGGAAGATGCAAGTTCTGTTGACTAGTGAGGTAAGGAAATGGTTTCTTGTTTTCCTGGTGAGGCTCTATGTTGGCACGGAGTTTCCCAGATGTTGGCATCTGTGGCAATCCTACTTCCTTAAATTTTATTCACTTTTTTATGATAACCAACTAAATTGGATTAAGTGCTCATATTATTAGTATAATTGGAAAATAGTGTTAACTCATAATGCCTGTCTCACATCACAGGACTTCTGTCTTTCCCATTTGGTTCTTACCAAAACAAACAACAAGAAAGACTCATGATTCTATTCACAAATGAATGAAGGCATCCTGGTGTATAAACAATGTGTCCAAGCACTCACAGCTACTAATGGGGATACAGGGTTAGGATTCAAACCCTGGTACAACTGAGACCGAGCTCATTTGTGCTGTTTTCCCACACAATGGGTTCCAGAAGACTCATATCTGCACACACTCAAGTCCTATATATGAGCTAGTTGTATTTTTGCTTGCAGTATATTCTTATCCTGAATAATTCAACTCTTCTCTAGCTTCATATAATGCAATGTACATATTATATAAAAGCTGTGATATTTCATTATTTAAAGAATGACAAGAAAAACAGTCTATATTAGTTTAGTACAGATGCACTTTTTCTTTTTTGCTGAATCCACAGTTAGCTGACCACAGGGGTGCAGAATACATGGTGTGGAGGGCCAACTGGACTCAACTTTGTAAAAGTAGTTAGAAAAGAGTGTAAACTTTGTCATTTAGCTGCCTTCTACTGTCATATGTTTATCTCAATCTCTTGAAACTTTTGCCTATCACTTCAAAACACTGAAGATACTGAGTTTTAGTTTTAAGTATCCCTCAAACACAATAAATATATTTTATCTGGACTTAAGAAACTCCAACAACTGTCTGTACATTTTATTTTAACCAGACATTTACAAGGTAGATTCAAAGATTCACATGAACATAACATGAGCCATTATCCACAGGAGGTACAATTGACTAGTATGCTATGAAGTGATACTTCTCCTAACACATTTAGATATCTGTTCTTTTGCACAAATACTTTTCTCTTCTAAACCCTGAAAATATGACAGTCATGCATTATCTTCTGCCAGTGATTTGTGAATTGTGGATTGTACTTAGCCATTCTTTTTTATATTACTATAGTGTTTAATTTGCTCTCTCTCTCTCTCTCTCTCTCTGTGTGTGTGTGTGTGTGTGTGTGTGTGTGTGCTTATTTTCCTCTGCTGTTAAAAAAAAGTGGTCACCAGAGTGTGGGGAGGAGACTCTAAACAGTTCCAGCTTTCGTATACTGTTACATGAGGAACATGGCATTTTTTGAGTGTTCATTTCCTTCCCATAATGAGAATCCACATATACCAAGCCAACAAAGTGCGTTTTGTTGTTCCAGTTTCACCTTGTCTGTAACACTGAACCACCAAGGGGCCCTTTCATTCCTTTACCTAATTTGAATTGTAACTTGAAGGCCCAAGGCATCAGTATCCCAAACGAAAGAAACATTCTATTACTTCCTATAATTTATCTCCTGGGAAAAGTAAGAAAGGGATGAGTGGGAAAGGGCAATATGTTTGAATACGGTTTCCTATTATGTCAAAAATTAATGCAGGCATCGGGGTACTTTAGTAGAGACTGACAGATTCGCACAATTTGAATGTCACAGCAGAAGACAACTGCTGCTTCGGATCCCCTGACTCAGACATCTTTCATCTTAAAGAAGGGGACACACCAGGGCTGGAAGTCCTCATCTATGAGAGACTGGAGCAAAAGGATTTCCCAGCGCTGTTAGGCTGTATAAGTTTCACTAAATCATTTCCTACAGCACAAGTCAGACATGTTTGCTTCCCATTGGCTGTCCATGGCCCATCTTCTCTGTATTAATACTTTTGCATGACCTTGGATTCTATTATAAATATCCAAGTGGCATTCAGCAGAAAATAAGTTTCCCCCCTGACTGTTATTCAGAAATCCAGCCCTGAAATTTTGCAGAAGATAAACTTATTTAGGTTAAGTCTGACCTCATCCTGAGACAAAGTCTATTGTAAGCAGCAAC